GACCCTAATTAGTTGAAAAAATGCTTTGATGATGATAATAATTGAAAATAATCGAGTATTAGTTCCAAAGTGGATCCAAATATTTCAAATTGAAAAATTTCCTAAGTTGCTATTTTTTATGAGTGAATAATGTATAGTGTGCTTCCGTAGGATAATGCTACACAATACAAATAATATAACGAAAGATGCTTGAGGCCTTTCATGAAAAAAGAAGAAAAAATATAGATTTTTAATGCAAAATATCATTTAAATAGTCAATCCACTATATAAAGCGTGTGACTTGTATAAGGCTGACACCCCAACCAATCAAACTAAAGTGCACCTTCAAATAGTATCAAGACATGTTATTTCAGTATTACAAATATTTTTTTTGTCTGAAAATATATTTTTATCTCTAGTATAACATTTAAAGATTTAAAAATAGTGTAGATCAAGTCGAGCTATGAAAATTTGAAAATTTTGAAAATCGACGTTATAGATAGTACGTTACAAGATGCACTATGTCCAAGACTTGAAGTCTATTTTTTATCATTTCTGTACATCTAGAGACTGAGATGATCGAATTAAAGATTTTTTAAATAACCCCTTCTAGTGAATTTATGAGATACGCCCTAATTTAATTGATTAAGACCTCACCCTTATATAAACTTTAGCCCTGTGTAAAACAGTAACTATGTTTTCTATTACTGCGAGATCAAAGCCGTAGGTGAGGGAACGACAATTACGAATTTCAACAAACGAAAAGTTTTGAGCCACAGGTGAGATCATAGCTAGCAAGTTGGCACCATAAAATTGAAAATAAATTGTTTTTATTTTAAAAAGTTGGATGAAAAAACTTGGAAAAAATATATGGATCGGCAAACATACTTCATATAAAAATATTGCTAATATATCATATTAGGCTAAAAAAATTGTAGTAAAAAAATAGGATAAATTTATAATATTATAAATTTTAAAATTCTAAAAAATAAAAATTATGTCAAAGCCATCAATAACTAATTCATCCATAAAAACTTTACTAGACAAATATAATTAAATCAATTAATTTAGATGCCTCGTAACTTTCATCCAATCATCTAATATTAAATACATAATTAACTAGTATATATCAAAAAAAAAGTACCATATAAATCTAACCATTTAATACTTTAAAAAACATCACACCTACTTATTACATACCAAAAACAAATATACTATATAAATTTATTCAGTAAATACTTTAACATTACTACATAAATTCATTAAACGCTTAAAACATCATACCTATCTAGTTGGTACCAAAAAAAGTTACACAATTTTTGTTTTGGGAAAGATTTCTATACTTCCCCTACAACATTGAAGATTTATGCCTCCCCTACCATCCAACCTTCCAATTTTGATCAAGAGAGTCATCCACCGTTCGATCTCAGATCCGATGTCTCAAAGTATTTTATTTTTAAATTTTTTTATACAAATTATATGAATATGAAATTTGGTACGTGGTATCTTCTCATTGGAACACAGCTATGAAAAATATTAAAAATAATTTTTCAATAAAATATAATGACCAAAATACCTCTTGAAACTTTCAGAAGTATTTTGGTCAATTTATTTTATTGAAAATTTTTTTTTATATTTTTTGCTAATGCGACTTTAATAGAGGATTCGAGATCCAAAATTTGGTATCAAAATAGTTTATAAAAAAAATTAAAAATAAAATAGTGTAGAGACGTGACACTATGATTAGAGCAATCTAAGCCCTCCATTCAGAATGGAAGGTTGTATAAGAAGAAATATATAAGTTTTATGCTGGATGGGAAGCATGCAAAGCTCGTCATTTTGTTTCCTCATTATAATGAATTAACTAGTGTATGGTGGCTATGGTGACTATATAACTTTTTGTTTTCTCATTATAATGATTTAAGTATAGTATTGTGGCTGTGGTGACTATATAATTATGGTTAAAATTTTATAAATGGAAAAAAAATTATATAAGGATGCAACCTTATAATGGAGAACTGCGGATAGAACTTTATAAATTTCTTTAATTGAAAATAGGCTCCTAAAAATTTGGGTTTCCCTGTCTTTACGGTTTACATAGAGAGAAGAAGGACGAAGAAGAGAAGAAAATAGGGGTTGTGCTCATAGCCATTAGGGTTTAGGGTTTATAGAGAGAAGAAGGAACGGTTTAGAGACAGAGAAGGAGAAGGACGAAGGAAGAGAAGAAAATAGGCGATGTACTCATAGCCATTAGGGTTTAGGGTTTATAGAGAGAAGAAGGAAGTAGTAAAAGTTCATCGGCTTTGGTTTATAGAGAGAAGAACGAAGAAGGAAGAAGGAAGAGTTCATCGGCTTCACAAACCCTAATACCCTAATGGAAGAGTCCCTAACTAATTTTTAGAGCGAGAAAAGGAAGATAGGATGCTGATTTAGGATGGTTTGAAGAGGATTTTTCTCTTTTTGAGTTGTTGTTTGCGAGAAAGCCCTAATTTACTGATTTTTGAAGAGGCCCTAAATTGTTTTTTGATTTGTGAAGAGGCCCTAATTGACTTTTGAGAGGGTTTTTCATTTTGTTGGGGAAACAGGAAGCAGAGCTGAAGGATTAGGTTTGGGGGATCGCTTGCTCCTGTAAGTTTACAATTTACACCAATGGTTTAAAAAGCGGATCGGTGACCCGGATCGGGCACCTCAAAAACCGATCCGGATCAATAAATCGGCGATCCGGATCGGGAATTAGCTGAATCGATCGAATTAAAGCTTAAAAAAAATATGAAAAAATTATTAAAATTTATTATAAATGTTTTTTTTTAGGAATCCAATAAGAAATGAGGTACTACATTATTAACTTTCATTCTTTTCATCAATTTGTTAATATTGAGATGCTATTTCCCAGTATAAACTTAAGTATTAAATTTGCATCACATAAAAGAAAAATCATAGAATTATCATGGATAAAATATATAATTATTCATGGACTATAATAAAAGAGTAGACTAAATCAATGAAATAATGGTCATTAAAATCTCGTTTTGACAAAAAACCCTAATCTGCTAAAAAAACCCAAATTATTACAGCCTAACTAATTATAATCCAAAATTATTACAACCTAACTAATTATAATATTATATAATGAAATTATAATTATTAGTTTACATTTTATAATTATTTTATTAGATAAATAATAACAAATTTAAAATATTTTATAATATTATCTAATTTAAAATGTATTATTGACAACTGTAAGAAAAATAGTACATTACATGATTTATAATGTAAAAATTAATAAATAAAATAAAAGATTTGGTTATCAATGTAAAAATTAATAAAATGCGGACAAATTTTAGAAATAACACTTTAATTTATTATATGCCCCAGGGGAAACAAAAATTAACTCAAGAGGGGATAAACTATTATACGGCCCAAAGGGGGATTCGAACTTGTGAAATCAAAGTAAGTAACATTAGTGATAACCATCGTACCTCCTTAGCATACATGTTTAAAATTGCATATTAATAGCATATATTTACATTATGTTTTTATTTAATGATGTTTGAGAATTATCCCACATCGAATGATGATTATTCAAATATGCTATATAAATAACTATCTAATTGGAAGATAAACACAAGTGTGAAAACACTAGGGCATCCGTGCACTCGTGCATGTGTGTGTCGCATATGTGGTGCATGTGGGAGTGGTGTGTGTTTGAAAGTGTTTTTGAGGCTTGAACCAGCTAGAACCGGTGCACACTTGCAAGCGTGCATGTGCGTATCGCACGTATGGCATGTGTGGGAGTGTGTGTGGCACGTGTGGGAGTGTGTACTGGTGCACACATGTGCATGTGCGTATGGCACCCACATATGGGAGTGTGTATGGCATGTGTGGGAGTGTGTACTGCTCGTGTCACATGTACACATGTGTGGGAGTGGTGTGTGTCTCACGTGTGAACCGGTGCACACGTGCAAGTGTGCATGTGCGTGTCGCACGTATGGCACGTGTGGGACTGTGTGTGGCACGTGTGGGACTGTGTGTGGCACGTGTGGGAGTGTGTACTGGTGCACACATGTGCATGTGCGTATGGCACGCACGTGTGGGAGTGTGTGTGGCACTTGTGGGCGTGTCTATCGCTTGTGTCACACGTACACATGTGTGGGAGTAGTATATGTCTCACGTGTGACGCGTACACATGTGTGAAGGTGATTTTCAGGCTAAAACCGGATGGGAATCGCTAAAACCGGGAGGGAACCGGACAAAACCGGGAGGGAACAACTAGAACCGGGATGGAACCGCTAGAACCGGGAGAGAACCGGGGGTTGTGCTCTAGAATCGGACGGTTCCTGATTTTGTGCTGGAACCGGCACGGGCTGTGCGGATTCCCGAGTCGAGTCCGGTTTGACTCGCTGATTTTTAAATCATTGGTTTACACTATATTGTTTATCTTTGTTATCATATAATCTAAAACAAAATATTGATTACTTGGTCCTGTACTCACACTCTCTGCTTCTCATTCATCAGTAAAAGACTATGTTTTGAGCTCTAATTTGTGCCATAGACATTAATTTCATAAAACAATTATCACAAACAATAACAAAAATCTGCATGAATATGATTTTCTTTACCCAATGATTTACTTTATGAAATGATTTGCTATAAATAGTATTATTTCATTTGCACAACGATTTTCCTTTATAACAACTTTGTGCAAATTTTATTAAAAAAAGGGAAAAAAATTCATACTTTCAGTTTGCAATTGTGGCTTTGAAGAACACAGTGGGGATAAAAATTTCTATTTTAGATTATTTTTTTTTGAAATAATATTTTTTTTTCAAAAGCATGAAAATAACGATGGCTGCAATACACAAAACAGGGAAAAAATATTATAGGTAAAAAAAAAAAAGATTTTTGGCCTGATTTAAATCGTATTATGAAAAAATCGCATTTTTAAACTTTTTCTATGAAAAGTACGCTAGCCATTTAAAACTGTTTCCATAAAAACGCTGGTTTTTTTAAATAGTCGCTGATTAAACGCCGATTTGTTGTAAAGTAGGGTTTTATCCTTCAAGCTCAGCCTGGCTCTCACGCCGCAGTTCTGTATACTTTTTTTTGGCGAGCTCCAATATTCAGGCGAGTTCTGCAACATTTTCCGGCAATGGACTTGGAGTCTCACAAGAATACCCAGGTTCTAATCCTCGACTTTGGCTCGCAATACACTCACCTCATAACGAGAAGGATTCGAAAGCTTTCAGTTTTCTCTCTCTGTATCTCTGGTACTTCGTCTCTTGAAGCAATAGCTGAGCACAATTCAAGGGTCATAATTCTCTCGGGTGGTCCTCACTCGGTTCACTTGGATGGGGCGCCATGGCTCCCTCGAGGCTTTTTTGAATATGTCGAAGAAAATGGGGTTTTTGTTTTGGGGATTTGCTACGGCCTGCAACTGATCGTTGAGATGCTCGGTGGTGAGGTGAAGGCAGCAAAGAGCAGTGAATATGGGAGAATGAACATAGGTACATATGAGGGTTCTGTGCTCTTTGATAAAGCTATGGAGCAACAGGTTTGGATGAGTCATGGTGATGAAGTTATTAGGTTACCAGAAGGTTTTTCAGTTATTGGAAGGAGTAAGAGGAATTCAATTGATTCTTTGAAGAAAAATGAAATGGGTACATTGAATCAAAATGGAGTGGATTGTTTGCACGAAAACACCATTGCTGCTATTGAGAATCCTTCTAAGAGGATATTTGGGCTCCAGTATCATCCTGAGGTATATACTTCAATTGTTGATTTTTTTTTTCTCTTTTTCTCTTGTCAAGATTGGGAATTTATTTTTTGATTATTAATTTGCTGTTTGTTGATGGCAAGAAATCGTTTTTATTTCATCATTTGAAGGGTCTTTTGTTTTTGGATGTTTGGATTCTGATGTTTTTAATATCATTGTTGGAAATAGATTATTTTTAGAAGACGGTTTGGAATTTGATTATTCATTCATTATTCATTGATGCAAAAAAAAAAGAAAAAATCTTTATTGGTTCAAAGGTTGTGAATGTTCGGCAGTTAAGACTCTTTTTAATTGCGAAATAATTAAACATGGAAATTGCAATTTGCGGCTGATTTTATTAGATTGTCATTCACTTTTCATGGGCAATAACAACAAAACTTCCTTTCCTTTTTGATGGGGGATGGCCTGAAAATTGTGATCTGATTCTTTTCCATTTGAACTCTTTATGAGATGATATAAGGATGGCAGACATTTGGACACTTTGAATTAGTTCTGGATTAGGTGTTTGATTGTTAAGAAATACGAATTGATAATGTCAAAATTTTCCAAAACTGTATTCATTCTTTGGAAAAATGGCCAATATAAACATTTGTTGATCACTTTCTCACTTTTGATATACTTGTTTTCCATTATAGTGTTTTTGGGTATTTGGTCAGTGCCTGAAATTCACAGAAATCATTACAGTTGTTTTTTTGTGTGGCCAAAGCCAGGAGACTGGCTTATTACTTGTGATTCAGCACGGAGACTAATTTGAATCTATATCTTACGATTTACTTAATTGTGGTAAGACTCCATCTTTCATCATTTTTGGTCACACACACACACACCTGGTCTTGGAAACCATAGCTGTAGGCCTAGGAAATTGGCCGTGCAAAAAAATTTACATGGCTTAGAAAAGAAAGGGTGTATTTTGGTAATGGGATATTATTATTATTATTACTATTATTATTATTATTATTATTATTATTATTATTATTATTATTATAATTATTATAATTATTCATGTACTGAAATGTTGAAATGAATTTGATACACAAGTATATACCATCTATACCAGTGTTCTAAAACTTGGCTGAGGTAACTCGGACTTGGCCTCGCCCTGGGCGAGGCGAGTTTTGGCCGAGTTGGTTGTACACCTTTTTTTTTAGTTTAATTATATTTAAACCTCCAACCGAAATCAAATATGTAAAAATGTCTTTTTGGTTGTTACTTGCACATAAAGTCGAAATAGTCATGGTTCCAATCCCGTTGCTGGCACCTTTTTTACATTGTACTTTGAAAATGTCCTCTTTTTTGGAGTTTAAAAAACACTAGCCTCCACAAGAGTGGATCCCACGACCTCTTGTTAAGATATCAATTATAGGGGAAACAATAACCAACACACCCGTATGCGGCTTAATGATAAAAAGTGGCACTTTTACTATATATAACTTAATTTTATCTTCATTTTCTTAAAAACAAAAAGAGCTGGACTCAGGCGAGTTACTCGGGACTCGCCTGAGTAAATCAACTCGGCCAGGGCCCAAGTACCTTGGCCGAGTCGATTTTTGGAACTATGATCTATACAAATTACAAAATTAATCCCTCAACAAAATGGGCCTCACACAATAAAATTGGAAATCACAAGGTGTGATTTTTTGAATTCCATCCTTCATCAGTAAATCGGTAGGTTCGATGGCCTCTCTTGAAGATTGCTGGAATGAGACCCCAAATTTGATAACCATGTCAATAAGTTTGTCAAAAAATGCAACTTAGACCCAAGGGTAAGGGCTCCTGTATTGCCTTTGTAATAATGTTATGGTTTTTATGAGTCCCCCAACTCATACTATTCTAGTGCGGGCTCCCTCTTTTTGATATAGATCTTGGACCCAAAAGAATATAAAAAATAAAAAATATATATTTTTTTAATCTTTTTCCTATCCATTGGATAGGAATCTTTAGTGGTGGAGGTTCATCTTAAAGATGGGTGTTTGTGAGTGAGCGGGTTAGTGAGTGCGCTGACTCATAAAACACTTTTCCTAATGTTATTGGGATCCCGTGGAATCACAATCTCATTCTTATTATAGTTCCCAACGGCATAGCTTGGGCAGGAGTGCATGGGCTTCGGCTTTACTTGGATTGCATTTCGTGATTTGGCCTGAGAATGATTGGAATATTTTGCACTGGTGGTCACGAAGCACACCAGCCACCCCCCCCCGCAGGCTCCCTCTACTCTTCCCTGCGAGTTAAATTTGATTCTACTCTTTGGTGTTGGTGTATGTTTCGATGTTTGATTGTCCCTCCCTTAATGAGTATTGGCAATTGTCTTCCATTGGGCTTCCAAGTCTATGAATTTTCTTCTTGCAAATGCTCAAGAAGTAACAGCAGTCTTAACCTTCCATCTCATACAACGCTCTGCTCTTTGTGGAACACTCTAGTACACTCTAGCCAGATTTGCCATGGAGCTGCCACCACTCTAAGAGTCAATGTCTTCAAAGCATCACTTCTAGGTTTGTTAAGGGAGGAAAGGCTGGACGACTGTTTAATCAACGTGTTGCTGAAAGCCAAACAAAGACAATACAAAAGACCAGATCTTTATTGGCTCATTGCAGTGTAGAAACAAATGTGTCACTGATTTTACATCCCTTTGTACATGTTAGATATATATTTGGGATGTACATGCACAACGGATTAAGTGATCTATTATCAGTGCTTTGTCAAAAATAAGTAGACAACCAAAGCTAAGGTTTGGAGCAGCAGGAATGCTCCTAAACTGGTGGGACACAGACTTTTGGAGGGGTTTTCCTGGTGAGTTGCTTGTCATCATGAACATGCCCTTACTTGCAGGCCCCATATTAAGTAATCCTTTTCTCTAGGCTTGCAGGAATGCTTGTAAGACCTCTTCTTGTTTTTAAGACCTCTTCTTGTATGGTGCTTCTACCTGAGCCCTCCATGAGATCAACAACTAATCCATTGGGGTCAGAGGTGATGGCAAAAAGCCTTAGAGCATCATCATATCATCATTCATCAAAGGCATCAGATATGTTACTTTTTATGGTTATGTGTGAATTCAGAAATCTGACCAGAATAAGGTCTTCCTAAATCGACCTGACTTCTATCCCATCTCAATCTATGTCTATACTTGTTATTTTTTTAAATCAGTAAAGAATGGGTTCTGTCACATTATGATTTGTGAATAAATCAGTTATGAAGAGCTTGTCCCCAACAAATTGTTGGCCAGGGCTGGCTTAAATCTGCATAAAACCAAATAAGCTTTAGGAAAACCAAGTGAAAATAGGAGGAATGAGTTTTAAAAGATTTTAGAAAAGGAGGATAAATGATAATTAGAAAATAGGAAAGAGAATATCCAGAGCTAGTTACAGATCAAACAATAGCAAAGCTACGGCATCATCTGGAACTAATATACCCATCAGTTTTATTATAAAAAGAATAACCCTTAGTCCTTAAGGACCTCAAACAGTCTTGAGAATAACACTAAGTTCTCCATTGGTGTGTGTTCATGTTCACAAATGTAAGTGTGTTATCAGTGTGCTGGAGATATGTAATTGTAGGGCCTCTTTGGTGACCCATTTATAAGGACCGAAAATTGGGTTGAAGACAAGCGACCCTGAGTCTACCTTATCCACTTAAAACTGATTCCTGTAATACTCACAATCTAATCCGAGAAAGTGCACTCTATGTGATCATAGACTTCTTCTAAATCCAACTTGCAAACTATTCTTGGGGACTTCTCCATCGTCTGGCATGGATGCATTTCTGCACTATAAGCTTGTATCCAAAATTTTCCAATCTGTGACGAATGGTTCCTGCTTTGGGAGATTACCTTACTGTTACTAAGCATCTATCATAGCTAGGACTTTGTTAAAGCCTTGAAGTGCCTCATGCTGCCTGTTTGCTTCCCTCATTTATTTCATTCATGTGACCTTATTGGGCACCAATGTCCCTTTCCAAACACCATGTGATAGGATCTGAGTTGACCCTCTGATATTATCAGCTCCAACCAGAAATCTTCTCTAGTTCCAGGTGTTTCAGGTCCATAAACTGCAGTTAGGGCCCATTTAAAGTCCTTTCTGAACCTGAGTAGGAAAAACACCAAGAACTAACCCTAATAAGAACTAGTGAGTTACAAATTACTTGAAAGGTTACTGAAGTCCCTTGGGCTGCCAAGGCAGCCCATTGAGCAGGGTATCTACACCACATTGATCTCACAAGGCTAGGTCAGGACATTTAAAATCCTTCCCATTACTTCCTTTGTTCCTCCTGTCCCTACCCTTCTGGTCCTCACTTTTATTTCCAGCTACATTTGGTCCGAAGGCATCGTTATGTCATCAATGCGGCTGTCATAGCCAACTTTCATGGCCGTCGACGTCGCTTCCATTCGGGGTATGCTCGCTGAGTTTTTTTTCTTATTCTCCACTAGCAATGAATGTGCCCTCTTGTGATTCCTCAGAAGTGCTACATCCCCCCATCATTTGCAAGGGGTTTTGACAAACAGTTGATATATGCAAGGTTGCCCAGGGATGATGAGAGTAGTTTGACCTCTGGGAGTATTGGATCAGGTCTATTGCTGTCCGTATTGGATACTTCAGGGCTGTTCACCGATGAGCATGGTGGTTTGAAGTCTTTTTATGGAGGTGGGTGCAATCAACCAGTCACATTCTGTATCATAGGAAAAGTTTGGGATGATCAGGCCTGGGCCAATCTGGTTTCTCCAAAAAGTATCTGGTTTCTCCAAAAAGTATCTAAGACATCAATGGGCTGCCAGAGGGAGGGGCATATCCACAGTGTGGGGTACAGTAGAGATATTTGATGAAGATTCCTCTGTTGGTTCTAGTGCTACCAGATCATTCAGCTTCCCGTAGTTTTGTAATTTCATGGTAAACACAACTCCGGATTCCTCTTCCCTAAGTTTAACGGGCAATAGCAGATACCAGTCATCGTTTCTTTTTTTGCTTGGTTTTTTTGCATTTTTAGTTTTCCTGGGTGTTCCCCCCTTGTTTCTTTTGTTGTTGTTTTAGTTTTATGGGTGTTTTACCCTTTTTTGTGTTCCTCTATCACCTCTCTCGGTGAGTTTTCTCGCCTCTGGGCATTTTATAATTGTGTGTATTCTCTTTTCCATCAAATACAATGTTAACAAAATAAAATAAAAAACGGAGGTTCGAACTTCGAGAAGTAATTGTTTGACTATCTCAGTGGGGTTAAGTAAGTAGCCATGTTCACCATAATTTTCAATGCTGTTCATTTTTCTCTTTTTGCAGAGTTTTAGACAACTGTCATGTTTCCTCTTCCAAAGTCTCGGGCTATTTTGCTGTCTTTGCCATGGGGTAGGGCTCCATTGCATGTAACTGTTTTTGTGGGCAGAGGGGCAGTATCCTTCTCCATTATTTGTTTTTCCGTGGGCCGGGTAAAGGTTTTTCCAGGGGCACCAAGGGTAAGGATCTATATTTGTCTTGATCTGCAACGTGTATCACCTTGATCTGTCCCATCTACTGTCGCTTCTTCCGAACATATTAAAAAGTGAGTTTTTTCTAACCATTAAATGTGTCCAGCATGCTTCTATGAATGTTTGCCACACATTAAGTTCTCTGGGGATTTTGACTGGTGTCTCTGTGACCCTTGGATTAGGGCAGAACTGGATCTGATTAATCGTGTCGGTAAGATTTATCCAGGGTGATGTCGTGCAGTGGGAAGGCCCATATGTTACTCTTTGGTGATGCACCATTGTGTTCACTGTGGCCCTTGGATTGGACGAGGTCATGTAGATTTCTTTTATGGTTATCCAAATGACAGCTTGGTATTGGTGATGCCATGTGACACCCTCTGCTTGTGTTGAGTTGAAGTTGAACTGCATGGTTGCATGTGCCAAGTGTTTAGCACAGCTGGTTCTTGAGATTTGAGTTTGAATGGAAATTCAAATTTGAATGATGTGAACCGCTGAAAACGGCTGGATTTGAAGTAGTTGAATCCTGCTATGTCCCATGGGCATGTGGCTCCTATCTCTGGTGTGATGTTTGACTGAGCTGGACCGGCCTTTTCTTTTGAGCCTGCGGACTTGTGAGGTGCATCATCATCCCAGTTGCCTCTGCATCTTTCCCTCAGCCATTTTCACTTCTTGCTTCTCTGCTGATTCCTCCTTCTTCGCCAAGTGAGCAGCTCTTCACCTTCTGCCCAGTCCCCGGTTTCGTGTATATCATCTTTCTTTTTCAGTTTGATAGTGGGGCTCCTTAGAACTTTCTTCTGCATCTTCAACATTTATCAGGAACTTAAACCATTGCCCTCTTCTACCATGATTACTTGTTTTGGGATTAGGAACACCTTCCTGAGTCTTTATTTTCATGTGGGCTGTATCAAATTTTGACCTAGCAGTGGAATTCCTGTCAAGATGTGTTAACCAACAACACATCATCTGGATATCACAACACCTCATAAGTCCAGACATGTAGGGCAATTCCCTTGACAGAGATCCACTTGCTGCTTTTTGCGGTACAAGAGCTAACTGATTCAGGTCTCCAAGATTTTAGCTTCAGCAGGTTACCCTTGTATCTCCATTGTCCATGCTTTCAGACCTGCTCAGCATCTCCCAGCGAGTTGAGTTAAAACATGGTATCACCATAATTGAGCCACTTACACATGATTGGTTATGCGGTATTCCAGGTTTTGGAACCCCATGCTTCCACATCTTTAAGATCTATTTTCCTCATGTCTGATCTAACGAGGGTGCCTCGAAGAATGTCAAGTCTCCCACATATGATCTTGTAACTGACATGAATGATTGACTCAGAGGCACTGTATCAACCAGATTGATACTGATATTCACTGTGCATGGCAATATTATGCGTGTATAGATTGTGGTTTGCTAGTAGAAGTTGTTCTGAACTGGAGATTTAGAATTTGAACCTTTTATGTTTATTTTTGGAACTTTTTATAACCCTTTGGAGTTTTTTCTTAACAAGGTCAGCACCTTTAGAGGTTCTAGATACTTTTGGATATGGATAAGGGTTTTTCTATGTTCTGAATGTTCTTATGATTGATGAATTGATGGCAGGTAACACATTCTCCAAAAGGAATGGAAACACTGCAATACTTTCTTTTCGAGGTCTGTAAAGTCACTGCCGATTGGGAGTTGAAAGATGTGCTTATAGATGAAATTAAAACAGTAAATAATGAAGTGGGACCTGAGGATCATGTCATATGTGCTTTATCTGGAGGTGTGGATTCGACTGTCGCTGCTACTATTGTACATGAGGCGATAGGAGACAGGCTACACTGTGTCTTTGTCGACAATGGTCTCTTGAGGTAAAAGAAGAAGCTACTTAGTTCATATATTTATTTTTTGTTGAATGAAGAATCTGCTAGTGCATCTTTTATTTTTTGATAGGCCTAAAATATCGCATTAGCAAAATAGTATAGTTTAGGATCCAGTACACTGTGTCCTAATATTTATGGGAAAGTATACTACCATCCAATAGAGTATGGATCCATTGGGCGTTCACTATCCTGTGAAAGGATGAACAATGAAGGAGAGAATGTGGGGCTCACTATTCTGGTCATAATCTATTCGGATGCTTCCAATCTCTGGCGATAACCATTCATTTCCTTGAACTGTGACGTCTCTAATGGACTAGCAGTTTTCTAATGGGCTAACAGTTTTCCGTAGTCCAGTGGCTTCTAGACTTCCAGTATACATCCTGCAATTCTGGGTTTAAAATAAAAGGATCGGATAACTGTTTTTATGTTGATATTGTTAACATTTGGATGGATGAATGAGAATGCGAGCCACTTAAAATGTTTAATATCAATTATTTTCCTGGGTTCATTTGTAATGGTTTGTTGTTTTATAGGTTTCAGGAGAAAGAGCATGTGATGTCTACGTTTCAGGCGGACTTGCATCTGTCTGTCACTTGTGTTGATGCAACCGATCGGTTTCTCAGCAAGCTCAAGGGTGTGGTAGAACCTGAAATGAAAAGGAAAATTATTGGAAAGGAGTTTATCTCAATCTTTGATGACTTTGCACATGAATTGGAACAAAAACTTGGAAGGAAACCCACTTTTTTGGTACAAGGAACTCTATACCCAGATGTCATTGAATCATGTCCACCACCTGGAAGCGGAAGAACCCATTCCCACACCATAAAGAGCCATCATAATGTTGGGGGCCTCCCAAAGGATATGAAGTTGAAGCTTATAGAGCCTCTTAAGTTGCTATTTAAAGATGAGGTTATCCATGGAGCCCTTTTGTATCTCCTAGGGAGTTGATTTCTGTATATATATTGCAATAACAAACATTCTGTTTTCTTCCCTTTTTCTTATCTATGCTGGGTATTTCCTTTGAGCAGGTAAGGGAGTTGGGGGGCATCTTGCATGTTCCACAAGGTTTTCTGAAGCGTCACCCATTTCCTGGTCCTGGCCTTGCTGTACGAGTTATTGGTGATGTTACAGAAGGGAATGTCTTGGATACATTGCGCCAGGTTTGTTTTTGTTACACCAGCCAAAGACAAGTTAACGCTATAATTCAATGGACTATGAAAAACCTAGTCCATTGGGTTTCATCTACTGTTAGATGAAGTGCTGGATGTTGCTGGGGAGAGGGTGGGCCCACTGTTGGATTCATTCTCTGTTCTTGTGGGTCATCCTCTCACTCCAATCTTCATCACCATCCATCATTTCATTGGACAGTGATAATTTAAAGTTTGTTTGTTGTTCATTCCTCAATTTCATTTTCTCAAAGATTTAGACATTTAGTTTTGTGTTGATATGCTTATGCTTATGCTTTGATGTTTCTCCAGGTTGATCACATATTTGTTGAGGCCATCAAGCAAGCTGGGATCTACGATTCCATCTGGCAAGCCTTTGCCGTGTTTCCAAATATTAGGACAGTCGGTGTTCAGGGTGATCAAAGAACTCATTCTCATGTAGTTGCTCTTAGAGCTATAACAAGTGAGGATGGAATGACTGCAGACTGGTAAGCTTTTATTGTTATATCTGTGACTTATAATTCATGGGAAAATACATTATCCCTAAGCATGCTGCATATATTTGTTGGAGCTGGGAACTGAGGATTGTTGATTACCCTTGGTTGAGAGCGCCATTAAGGTGCCCCTATAATAATAAATACATAAAACTAGGGAAATTTGGAAAGAACGAATAATGTCAAATATTTGGAAAAACATGTAGATGCAAAATTAATATATAAAAAAATATCTTTAATATAATTACAATAAATTTAATCAAATAACATTTGAGAGTAATACGTCATATATATTTGCTTGAGTTATCGCATTGATTTTACATTGTAAATGATCGCATATACCCTTTCATTTCATTGTTTAGAAATATCTAATGCACGAGGCAGATTGTATGAACAAATATAGAAATATAGAACGACAGGAGAGAGATCGTTCTCCCTCTTGTACATGTTTTTTTAGAAGATAACGGGTCAAAATCCCATAACCACTTGCGACAAATGTTTGGAGTCTCCATTCCCCACATTAAATGCGATTGAGCATTGGATTTGAAACTCTCTTTATGATTGATGAAAATTGAGGAATCTCTTTTCTTCTGAAATGTTACAGATCCTCGATTTGGATAATTATTTATTTTTCTATTGATATGCAATTATTGCTTAATTTTTTATGGATATGCATATGTTATTTTTTTGTCAATTGTTAATGATATGCATTTATTGCTTATTTTCCTTTAAAAGTATAAAGAATATGTGTATGCTTTAACACGTTTACAAACTCTTATTGGCTTAAGAGCATTATGGGATTGCGGATTGCGGATTGCGGATTGCGGCCGGATTGTGATCCTGTTTCAGGAGCGCAAGGTCGCATTCCCAGAGCGGGATCGCTGCCATGTTTGGAGTTCCTGGTAACTAAGATGCTGCATGTAGATAATATGATTAATTTTTTCTTTATTCTGGAGACTCACTTATTGTTAAGAGGATGCCGTTGATGCCATAAAATTAATTATACCTGCTGATTATCTGCTGGTGCTGGTAGGTAGTGAGTAATTGATATTTCTAGCTTGCTAGAATTATATTCCTTTTCAAATAATAATGGATCATAATTTTTCTATGATGCATATTAAATTGCCTTTAAAGTGGCTAAGGTAATTGCTACTTGGATATAGTGATTATTTTTTGGGTTTTCGCTTTAGAATGGAGCTTGGCAAAAGGTGAAATAGTGAAGTCTATTTTATTGGTTTTCTAAGTTATCAGTGGCCTTGTCATTTTGAAAGTCCTTCGTTGTTGTTACTTTTTGGTTGTAGTAGTTTGTGCATATATACATAGATATCCATCTCCATATTTGATGTAATGGGTTTTTAATTGTTTTACGTTTAGTTAACCTTTTCTCAAAAAAAAAAAAATTTTTTTTTTGTTTAATACTTTTTAGTTACTAAATTAGGTCTAGTTTGTATACTCATTTATTTATTTAAGGTATTTGTGTCATTATCAGTTGAATTTTAGTTGTAGAGAATTGAGGAGTGGATTTGGAAGTTTACTTTTTAAAAGATGAGAGGTTAGGATTTAATTGTGATTAAGGTTTCTTAGGGAGCAAACTAGGTCTTAGGGATAAAAGAAAAAAGATAAGACCGATTTATTTTGGCTCTTGTGAAAAAATAATTTTAGGGTGAACTTCCTTGTCGACCCTAAGAGGGTATAACCATTGATCCTTATTTTATTTTGGTGGTTGGCTCATATTTTTTCACCCTCTTTCCACATTAATTGGTATCAGAGTTTCAGAAGATTCATCAATCATATTTGCACCAAAACCCACTCTTATGATCAAGAATATATTGCAGTAAATCATGGAAGTTGCAAATTTAACAAATTAAAAAGGGCATAAATTGAGGTATGGAAGATGTTCAAGTCAAGATTCATGGAATTCGAGGAGAAATAAGTGAACTTGGAAGAGAGATTGGTGAAATGAATCTTTAATGGCTGCAGAAATTGGAAAATACTAATAACCAAATCTCACCTAAGGGATGGATTTGTAGGACTCCAAGGACTAACTCCATGGGCCGATCCCATAATGAGCAAGTTTTGAGGCAAGAACCAGACAATGTTCATGTGATCTCAGTGTCAGAGTTTATCTTTTTTGAGTTCCATGACGAAATCGAAAGAGAAATCAAAACTATACTTGATATCCCAATTTTCCACTACAAGTTGCATTGAGATCAGTTCATTGAAGAAGACAAAGTGCCCAGGGGAATGGTCTTTGAAGGACTTGATGAACACAAAAAGCTCAAGGTCTAGCTTCTCCCATTGTCGGGAGAATGATGGAATGGGTTTTTAATGTTTTTATTTTGCGATTTTTCTTAGATACTAAATAAAATTGGATTTAGGTTATATGGTTCATGTATTTATTTATGTCAGGTTATTGTATTGTCTTTACATGTATTTTAGTTGTCAAGAATTAAAGGTTTTTCAAAGTTCCGAGAAATTGATCTAAGCATCACCCATTGTTATTAGATTTAGTTTTGGATGTTTTATAAGTCTATTAGAGAGTTTTTAGAAGATTTTGAGTCCTTAGAAACATCTTAGAGGTGGAAGTTTGGAGATCGAGCAATCAAAGTTATTGATTTTTTTTGATATTGACTTGTGGTTGTAGAGTATGGAGGAGGAGTGTGTGCTGTGTGGATTTGTATATTATACATTTGATGTGCCCTAAATCCTTTATTCTTATGTGTTATACAGTTATACTTAATGGTTTAAAAAACGGATCGGTAATCCGGATCGGGCTTCCAAAAAACCGATCCGGATCGGCGAATCGGCGATCCGGATCGGGAATCGGGTGAATCGGTCAGAATAAAGCTTAAAAAAAATCCGAAAAAATTATTAAAATTCATTATAAGTATTGTTTTTTAGGAATTCAATAAGAAATGAGGGTACTCCATTAAGAATTTTCATGTTTTTGAATGAATATGCGAATATTGATATGTTCTTTCCCTGCATGAACCGCCATTCAGCATTTAATTTACATCACACAAAAGGATAAACATATAATTATCATGGAATAAGTATATCAACATATATGGACTACAATAAAGCACAAAATTAGTAACATATGATCTAAAAATAAAATGATAGACGACGTTATTGTTCTTCTTGGTCACGCTGA